GTGCAGCGGGGAAAGCGAGCGGCGGCGGGGCCGACACCAGCTTCGTGCACCAGATATCGCCCCCCCCCTTTCCCAAGTACCCCCCTTTTCGCCCGACCCGACTGTGGCGGCGCGCCCGAAGACCGAGCATCGATCGAGAACGATCGAGGGCCCTCGTCGGTCGTCGTCGTCGCCCTCGCCCTCCTCCTCCTCGTGCTCTCCCCGGCCTCCGCTCCTCTCCGCACCCTCGAGCATCGGGGGTCGCCGAGCTGCGAGGACCGACCACCGATCCACGATCGAGGCTCTGTGCTCTTGGCTGCTCTCGGCCGCTCCGGGCCTCCCTTCCGGGCCACGTCGACGGAGCCTCTGATAGCGTGGCGCGCCCGAGGAGACTGCGGCCGTGGGTCCAGACGTCCTCCATCCCTCCTGTTCTCAAGGGGCCCAAGGACACACACATAAAAATACACACACACACAACTCCTAGGATTCCCCACATTTTCCCAAACTTTCCTGGGAGTCGACGATTCATTGCGTCTGTGTGTTGTTTGTCCCTCCTGATTTTCTCCCGCGGCACCTGGGGAAAGCCCTGGCTTGCAGTGCCCTGGCTCCTGCGGCCCTGGTCCCGTCGCCTGCAGAGGCCTAATGGAGGATGACGATTAATAAATGACCGGGGGTCGTGTTCACGCGGCGGCGCCCGGGATGACGATTAGAAAAAAAAACGGCCGCGGGCTGGAAAACTATGTCTTTGTTTTATCGTTCTTTTCCAGTCAGGAAATTATGCAGCAATAACAGAAAACTATGTTTTAATCGTTCTCTCTCATTTTTTTCTTAATCGTCATCCCGCATTAACCAGCAGGCTTCTGGCGACCTCTCGAGGCCCAGGCCCTGGACGTATGGCGACCTCTGGAGGCTTCTGTGGAGGCCTCCCAGGGCCTCCAGGGGTGGCACCAGAGGGGGCGACCGTCTCAGATGGCAGGGAGGCTTCCTGGAGTCGATCGGAGGCTTTCGGGAAGGAGACGACACACACGCGTTCCTAGAGCAGGCAGCACCCCCCTTAGCCCCGCACCCGACCGACATCTGCGCGGAACGAGTCCCCAGACACCCCTCCCGGGGGGTCCACCCTGGCCCCCGCTTTTCGCCGCGTCCGGCCGCTGCGACGAGGACCTCTCCAGCGCAGCGCGCCCCCGAAAACTTCGAACGCGCCTGCAGCGGCGCATTCCGCGCGTGCGAGCGCGCCCCCCGTGCGCATCCATCATGCGCGCACCAGGGCAAGCGAGCGAGCGTGCCAGCCTGCGGTCTCGCAGTCATCCACGGGTGCGAGCGAGCGTGGGCGTGGGCATGCGACCTGTGTCGCATGCTCGCGAGAGTATGATGCGTGCGATGGGCATGAGTCTGATGCGCGAGACGAACACTACGCGCGAACATGAATCGACCAGTTTCACAGCAGGATGGCGACACGCAGGACGCCTCCCTGCCTCATCCTACTCCAGAGAGCCATAAGAAAAAAACGACTCCCCTGCAACCTAATTACAACCCCTTTGTGAAACCCTCTGGCCAGTGTTCGTCGTCGTCGGCGGCGTCGTCGACCTTTGGGCTCCCCGTCGTTCCACCCCTCCTCATCGGCCAGCGCCTCCGCCCGCTCAAGATCCAGCATCCGCAGCGGCTCCTGCTGCGCACGACAACGACGGCGCAAATGACGGGGGTGGCGGCGGACGCCGACCAAATGCGACGGCGATCTCCCAGAGCCTCCGAGAGCCTTCGAAAACCGTCGACCATCTTTGAAAACCGTGGGAAACCTCCGACGATCTTCGAGAAGAACATCACCCGAAACAGGCGGCGACGAAGACGCGACTCGTGACGCGACAGCGGCGGTGGCGACGGCGCGACAGCGACGACGATGACCACCACCACGACGACGACGAGGAGAACGGCAGCGGCGACGACGACGAAGACCACCAAGACGAGAACCGACGACGGAAGCGACGACGACCACGACGACGTCGGACGTCGGCGGTGGCGACGGCGGCGACCGCCGCGACGCCGACGGCGACCACAACGACGACAGCCACGACAGCGGCGACGACGGCGGCGTCAGTGGCGGCGAGGCCGCGCCGCGGCCGCCGCGGCGGGGCTCCCGCGGCGGCTCCCGGCGCGGGCCCGGGGGCGCGCCTCGCTGCGGCCGTGGCCCGCTGCGGCGGCGGCGGCGGCGGCGGCGACGACGACGCTCCTCATTCCTCCTCCTCCTCCTCCTCCTCCTCCTCCTCCTCCTCCTCCTCCTCCTCCCATTCCTACACCTCCTCCTCCTCCACCTCCTTCCCCTCCTCCTCCTCCTCCTCCACCTCCTTCCTCCTCCTCCTCCTCCTCCTCCTCCTCCACAATGAAACAGTCTGAGTATTTACTGCTCTCCCTCCTCCCCCTGAAGCTGGCCGGAAGATCTCCCGCCCCGTTGCAAAGCACGATTTCCGCATGGCTTCTTATCATCCAGTCGTCTTCGGTGTTCTGAGATGGTGCTCCCGCTGCAGCGTGGGGGGGCCTCATTTTCGGATTGGCGCCTTGCTCCCGTCGTTCAGAGCGGCGCTCTCGCCCCAGCGCGGGCCACCTTTCTAGATCCCAGTCTTGTTTCAGTGCGGCCCCCCCATCATTTTCCCTCCTCCGCCCTCCCCCGATCCTCCTGCTCCTCCCGCTCCTTCCACTCCAGTTCGTGCTGCCGCTGCTCGTCTCGCCCTGGCGCGGGCCACTTCTCGGAATCGTCGTCGCCCCCCGCATTTCCCCCCCCTCCGCCTTCCCCTGGTCCTCCCTTCCCTTCAGATCTTTCCGGGTTGGTTCCTGCTGCTGCTGTTCGTTCTCATCCTTTCCCTCTCATCCTCCTGCTCACCCGCCACCTCCTCCTCCTCCTGTGCACGCAGCTCCGCTTTTTCCGACTGCGCATCACACGAAGTGGTCTTTCTGTGTGAGTTGCAAGTCGGCTAGGACACGCGTCCGCGGATAGAGAAAAACCAGCGCCATCGGAAGGGATGGGATGGAGGGACAGGATGCCAGATGAGGCGCGACCGCACCTGGCTGGTCCTCCCACCTCTCCCCTCCCGCCTCCTCCTCCTCCTCTCCTCCTCCTCCTCCTCCTCCTCCTCCTCCTCCTCCTCCTCCTCCTCCTCCTCCTCCTCCTCCTCCTCCTCCTCCTCCTCCTCCTCCTCCTCCTCCTCCCCTCCTCCTCCTCCTCCTCCTCCTCCTCCTCCTCCTCTCCTCCTCCTCCTCCTCCTCCTCCTCCTCCTCCTCCTCCTCCTCCTCCTCTCTCCTCCTCCTCCCTCCTCCTCCTCCTCCTCCTCCTCCTCCTCCTCCTCCTCCTCCTCCTCCTCCTCCTCCTCCTCCTCCTCCTCCTCCTCCCTCCTCCTCCCTCCTCCTCCTCTCCTCCTCCTCCTCCTCCTCCTCCTCCTCCTCCTCCTCCTCCTCCTCCTCCTCCTCCTCCTCCTCCTCTCCCTACTCACTCTTGGTGGTCGCCGGGGCCAGGCAGCGCCCCTGGGACGCCGGAATCGCGGGCAGAGCGCCAGGAGTGCACAAGCCACGTCCTCTCAGACCTGGGGACCTCGGTCCTCGAACGACGACGAGGACGACGACGCCGACGACGACGTGGCGGGCTGCCGTGGCGACGAGAACCCAGACATCACGAAACACCTCGAGGACGACGACGACGACGACGGCGACGACGGACGATGACGACGACGACGACGACGACGACGACGACGACGACGACGACGACGACGACGACGACGACGACGACGACGACGACGACGACGACGCGCTCCCGGGGCGCCTCCTCCGTTGCCGCGCTCCGACACGGGGGGCCCGCCCGGCTCCCGGCCCACGTCCCGAGGGGGCTCCTCGGCGGCCGTCGGCAGCCAGGGCGTCGACGAGGTCGACGACGTCGTGGGGCGACGACGGCCGCGACGACGTCGTCGTCGTCGTCGTCGTCGTCGTCGTCGTCGTCGTCGTCGTCGTCGTCGTCGTCGTTGTCGTCCTCGAGGCTTTTTAGCGCTTCTGGGGGTTCTCGTCGCCACGGCGGCACGCGACGTCGTCGACGACGTCGTGGGGTGGGGCGGCGGCGACTACGGGCGGCGACGACAGCGTTGACGTCGTCGACGCCCTAGCTCAAGGAGTGCGGCGTCGGCGTCGTCGTCATCGTCGTCGCCGTCGCCGTCGTCGACGTGGGTTGGGGCGACGACGACTACGACGACGATGCCCGACACCTTGGGGCGGAGCGGCGACGACGACGACGACGACCTCGTCGTCCTTCTCCTCCTCCTGCTCCTCCCGCTCGTCCTCCTCCTTCTCCTTCTCCTCCTCGTAATCGTCGTAATCGTCGTTGTCGTCGTCGCAAAATCTCCTCAGGCTGTCCACCGCAGGAACAGTGTGCGATGGCAAAAGCCTGCTGCTAGGCTGGGCGCCTGGGAAGATCCCTGCGTCCAGACCCAGCGGACAGCCTGAAACGCTGCGCCAGCAGCTGGGCAGAGGCAAAAGCGTGCGCAGAACGCCTGCTGCCCTCCATGCCTTTGCGAGGCTCACGCAAGGCAGCATCCTAGGCGCAGGTGAACCCGCAGTGTCTGGTGCTCCCGTGGCAACGGCTACCATGACAGCCAGAGCCCAAGCGAAACATAGAAGACGAGACTGACGGAAGGACAAACAGGACAAACAAGAAACAGGACAGACGCGACGACGACGACGACGACGACGACGACGACAGCCCCCGACGGAGGTACCAAAGCGAATGAGGAGCGCCTGGCTCCCGAAGGAAACAAGTGAACACAGCAAGGAACCGAGTGCGTGCATGCCATGGCGCGCACCGCGTAAAGCCGTGGTTAGTGCGGTGGCTTTGGCCACCTTTGCCCATTTTCCCTCCTATAAAATAACAAGTGATGTAAGGGCTGATCGTCGTCGTCGTCGTCCTTCTCGAGGTTCTGGACCATTCCATTGCTGGGGCTTTGATTCTGTTCAGTCGCGGCGTGGTTCTTTAGACTCTGTCGAGGAATTCTGGAGGCCGCTCCCCCCTCGCCCCACGCCACTGGCAGGCCGGAGCTGTGTCGCATCGCCACGCCGGGCCGGATCGGAAACCGACCGCGCCGCGCGCCCGAAGCCGCCTCGGAGTCGGAGCGGGGCCAGGGCCGCCTGGAAGCGCAGAGGGGGCTCGGCCCCTGGGGGCCGCAGCGGGACTCGGCCCGCGGCGGATCGGACCGGGGCAGAATCGGCATCGAAGTCCTCAAACATCCGAGGATGTGTTTTTCAATCCTCGCCCGAGAGGTCCCGATGACGTCTCGCCGTGTCATCACCATCATCATCATCATCATCATCATCATCATCATCATCATCATCATCATCATCATCATCATCATCATCATCATCATCATCATCAGCATCATCGTCATCATCGTCATCGTCATCGTCATCGTCATCGCCATGTCATCATCATCATCATCATCATCCTCCTCCTCCTCCTCCTCCCCATCATCATCATCATCATCATCATCATCATCATCATCATCATCATCATCATCATCATCATCATCATCATCATCATCATCATCATCATCATCATCATCAGCATCAGCATCAGCATCAGCATCAGCAGCAGCAGCAGCATCAGCATCAGCATCATCATCATCATCATCATCATCATCATCATCATCATCGTCGTCGTCGTCGTCGTCATCATCATCATCACCATCATCGACGTCATGATCACCACCGTTATCGTCACCATCATCGCCACCAATTGCGCCACACCCCTTACACGTTTCGTGGCCCCTCAGGGAGCCCCATCGAAGGCCTCAGTGCCGGTGTTCGCATGCGTCTCCCCCACCCAGTAATTACGGCGCTTCGTGGCCCCATAGGGAGCCCCACCTGAGGCCCCAGTGGCGATGTTCGCATGCGTCTCCCACACCCAGCACAGCGTTTCGCTGGCCCCATAAGGGGGCTCCACCTAAGGCCCCAGTGGCGGTGTTCGCGTGCGTCTCCCCCGCCCAAAACGGCGCTTCGTGGCCCCATAGGGAGCCGCACCTGAGGCCCCAATGGCGGTGTTCGCATGCGTCTCCCCCACCCAGGACAACGTTTCGTGGCCCCACAGGGAGCTCCACCTAAGGTCCCAGTTGCGGTGTTCGCATGCGTCTCCCCCACCCAGCCCCACATCGAGCTCCACCTAAGGCCCCAGTGGCGGTGTTCGCATGCGTCTCCCCCAGCCCAGCACAGCGTTTCGTGGCCCCAAACGGTGCTCCACCTACGGCCCCAGTGGCGGTGTTCGCATGCGTCTCCCCCACCCATGACAACGTTCCGTGGCCCCACAGAGAGCTCCACCTGCGGCCCCAGTGGCGGTGTTCGCATGCGTCTCCCCCACCCAACACAACGATTCGTGGCCACACTGGGAGCTCCACCGAAGGTCCCTGTGGCGGAGTTCGCATGCGCCTCCACCGCCCCGGACAGCGTTTCGTGGCCCCACACGGAGCTCCACCTAAGGCCCTTGTGGCGGTGTTCGCATGCGTCTCCCCTACCAAACACAACGGTTCGGGGCCCCACCGGGAGCTCCACCTGCGGCCCCAGTGGCGGTGTTCGCATGGGTCTCCCGCACACAGGACAGCGTTTCGTGGTCCCACAGGGAGGGAGCTCCACTTAAGGCCTCTGTGGCCGTGTTCGCATGCGTCTGCCCCACCCAGCACAACGTTTCGTGGCCCCACAGGGAGTTCCACCCAAAACCCCTGTGCCGTTGTTCGCATGCGCCCCCCCCCGCCCAGCACAGCGTTTCGTGGTCCCACAGGGAGCTCCACCTAAGGTCCCAGTGGTGGTGTTCGCATGCGTCGCCCCGTTTCGTGGCCCCACAGGGAGATCCACCTAAGGCCCCAGCGGCGGTGTTCACATGCGTCCCCCCCGCCCATCACAGTGTTTCGTGGCCCCACAGGGAGCTCCACCTAAGGCCTCGGTGGCTGTGTTCGCATGCGTCTCCCCCACCCAGACCAGCGTTTCGTCGCCCCACAGGGAGCTCCACTTGAGGCTCCGGTGGCGGCGTTCGCATGCGCCCCCCCCACCCAGGACAGCGTTTCGCGGCCCCACAGGGAACTCCACCTGGGTGGAGCGACCTGCGGAGCTGCGGAGCCCTGCATGGCGTACTGCAAAGCAGGCACCGCCTCGTGGCCCACAGACGGAGACACAATCACACATTTCGCGCCCCCCCATAAGAAACCCCACCGAAGATTATACACGCGATCGCGGTACCTACAGCTGCATATGGTTGGGTCCTTCGCCAAGCTAATTTCAATCCTCGCCCGAGAGGTCCCGATTACGTCTTATTGCACCAGCCTTGCAGACGTGCTGCAGCGGATTTCTGCGTGGATTTCTGCGTAGATGTTTGCCCGAAGCGGCGAACGAAACAGGAAGAGTTTCGCATGGCTTATTTTTGGTTTTCATTCCTGGCAAGAAAAATGGCACGAAATCCACCTCGAAATCCGGAACGAAATTCTCCAGGACGTTCCGGGCCCATTCCAT